GCTCTTCGCCCCCCGTTCCCCCGCGGGGCTGACGGCGGACCCCGGCCCCGGCGCCCGCAGGGTCCCCGCGGTTCCCCGGGGGTCTCCGGTGATCGTTCGGAACCCCGAGGTTCCCCTCCCCGAGCCCCCCCCGCCCCCCCGGCCGCGCCCCTTGCTGCCCCCTCCCCAAAAAGCCGCTCTGGCCGCCCCGGTGCCCATCAACGCCGGGCGGCTGCGGGCCCCGGGGCGACCCCCGGCCGCCCCCGGCGGGCCCCCCGGGACCCCCGAGCGGGGCCCCCCCGGAGCCGCCTTCGGGGGGCCCCCCCTGCACCCGGTGGCGTTTCACCCCTCGCCGGCCGCGCTGCTGCCGCTGCTCGTGCCCGGAGACTACGGGACCCCCCCGGCCCCCCGCAAGGAGATCGTCATGGGCAGGCCCGGAACAGGTAGGCGGTGACGTCAGAGGAAGGGGCGCGGTGACGTCAGAGGGAGGTGGGGGAGGGAAGTGTGATGTCACGGGAGAGGGGAGGGGTGGTGACGTCAGAGCGGCGGGGGGGGCGGGGCGGATCGCCGCGTGCCGGTGGTGTCAGGGCGGTGTCAGTGACGTCGCTTTTCGCGGTGACGTCACGGCGGGGGGTCTCGGCGTGCCGGTGGTCGCGGCGGGTTCGGTGACGTCGTGGTGACGCCGGAGCCGCGCCGAGGTGGTCGCGGTGGAGTTAAAGCCGTGGCGGGGAATGTCGTCATGACGTCACGGTGACGTCAGAGCCGCTTAAGGGCTGTGTCGGGATGTTGTCGGCGCGCCGAGGTGACGTCACGGTTACGTCACTGAGAACCGTGCCACAGGGCAGGCGTCGCGGGTGACGTCACGCCGATGCCACAGAGGGACGCGGGGGTCTTTTTTTTTTTGCGTCGCGCTGACGTCACTCCGCCTCCCCGTGACGTCACGGCTTCCCCCGTTCTGTGCCGGGCTCGGGGAGAGCTCGCGAAGGGGGCGTGGCCTCTCCCGGAGCTGCGCGCGCATCCCGCCGGCGGGGAGGCGGGGGCGGGGGCGCCCTCATTTGCATACGCGCGCCCGGCGCCCAATGGGCGCGCGGCGCGGGGGCGGGAAGCCCCCTCTCATTTGCATACG